TGGTCCACAAAAGCATCGCTCGCATCGTAAAGTTTGTTTTCGTTGAACAATCATATGTCCTCACCCCTGTTGACCACAAATCTTTCAACTCTTTTATTAGTGGTTGTAGAAAAACGTCGAGAGATCTTTTTGGATGTTTTGGACCAGGTATTAAGATGCTCATGAATAGAAACTCTCGTCGCATGCACATCTCCGGTGGGAGGTTATACGGTGTAAGAAAGACCGGTCACAATGAATATTGTCTCCCAGACATTCCAAATGGACTAAAACCATCAGTGCATAATCCAAGATACACATTCCGGCTATTGCTAGCGAAATGTGGATGTACATTGTTAAAATGTTTCCAGGCTCTTGCATCTGATGGATGAGTCATCTCTCCATCCTTCTGAGTATGCTCGGCGTGCCATCTCATCCCCCCAGCAGTCTCCTCAGATTGGTACAACCTTTTCAATCTGTCTGTGATTGGTAGGTACCACATCCTTTGGTACGGTACCCTATTGCGCCCTCGACCTTGCGGTTTGAATCGTGGCTTCTTACAAAATCGACATTCTTCTAACTTCTCATCATCTCCCCAGTAAATCATGCAGTTGTCGATGCAAACGTCTATCATCTCCGNAACCCAAGACTATATACCAATTTCTGAATCTGATAATAAGATTCAGCAGACACATTGTCTTCTGGCAAATACTCTTTAAACAAGTCTGCCCATGCATCCATACAATTTTCAGGTAGATTGTGATCGGTTTTAATACTCATCATTCTAGCAGCCAACAACAATTTAGATAGACCTTCTCTACAACCACTGTAAATTGGCTTATTTGCAGCTTCTAACATTTCGTAAAACTTTTTTGCATCTAAGTTAGGTTCTTCAACTTCATCATCATTATGAGTTACAATCTACCATTTGTTCCTCTTGGTGATGATCATAGCTATAACTACTGCTACCTTCATTACGCAAATGATCAACCGGTTCAACCTGATTACTACTGTTACCAGCTTCCTTCCTACAACTAGCATCTTCTCCATGTTGATACCAAATATAATAATATGGCATGAAGCCTCTATTTATTAAATGCTTCCAAACATTTTCACGAGGGCCTAATTTGCTATTGCAGCATTTCCGACAAGGACAGAACATCTTACCACTTTCCTGCGTGAGTGGTGTAGAATCTGCTTGATGCATGAACGTCTCCAACCCTTCCAGAAATTCGTTCGTCACTCTCCCGTTATTATCTCTGTGTGAATACATCCACTGCCTCAACTCGAAAATATTTCCCGGACCGGACATTTTTTTGTGTTTGATCAAGCTTATAGCTGATTTTTGTTTGGTGTGTTTCAAATGAATCACATAAGTTGGTATTTATAGAAATTTTCGAATCTGATCATTTACTAGGAAATTGCTAGGAAAAGTAGGTACAAAACACATGTTTTATTTAAATTCAATATTTCCTATCCATTTCCTCCTAATTTCGTAGTAATAAAATGTTTCCTCCTAATTTCGTAGTAATATTTTACTATGCCTTTACGAGGAAAGACTTTACTACGGCTTTACGAGGAAAAGTACTTTTTCCTTGTAAGATCCTCGTAAATTTACTAAGGTCTTACGAGGAAAATAGTTTCTCGTAAGTTTTCGAGGAGCTTACGAGGAAATTTGCTTTCCTCGTAAGATCCTAGTAAATGCTTAGTAACTTTACGAGGAAGATTTTTCCTAGTAAAATTTCCTAGTAAATGCTTAGTTTTCTTGTAGTGTGCAAACAAGTCAAATATATAATTTAAACAAAAAATTCAACCATTTGCACTGACAATGTAATATTATAGGTGAATTATCACTTTTAGAAAAGATTAGAATATATATATATATATATATATATATTAACTGAGAAGTCACTGAAGTGATTTTTACTGATGAGTCATTCATAGAAAAATTCTCTAATTAATTATTTTTATTTGATTGGTTTATGATTTTTTTTATTTATTAATTCATACTTAAAAAAATACTAAACCAAGAACTAACTTACATCAATAAGAAAAAAATTATATTTACAATTATGGTTATGACAAATCTGTACGGAGATTGTGTCATCAATTCTCGTATTTTTATTATAAACTATATTATGCATTTAATAAAATACATATTCTACTAAAAGAGAAACTTAAAAACTTTATCTTGCATATTTTATAAATAAAAATAAAAGCAAAATTAGTGGTTAGTAATTTACTACTTATATATTATAAAGATAATAATATACAAAACTATAAATAATTTAATTTAAAGTAAAATTTAAAATAATTTTAGATAACAAACATATTTAAGGTTTTCCATCAAGGAAATTCTAAATTCAATATTTATTGTAAAAACTGGTATATATTTTAAATGAATTCTTTGAAAAATATCCTATGTATGTTATATATAAAACTAAAAATAAAATATAATTAGTAATTTTTTTAGCTGTGTATTGTATAGAAAAAAATATAATATATATATATATATATATATAATTTGATCTCTTATATATTATTTGAAAAATATTACAACATTTGAGGTAGCCAAATGTTATCACCAAAATATTTTTTTAGAATTATCAGAGAAGCAGATTAGTCTATATGAATATATTCTCATTTTTATTAAACTAAGGGAGAAATTCATTTTTACCTTCAATTTGATACCATTATTCATGTTTACCTAAATATAACATTCCATTAAATAGACAAAAAGACATTTATTTCATTATTTTATAAATAAAAATAATTATTTTTAAAAAAAAATTTAAGGTTTTGAATATACTTTTACAAATTCGGAATTTTTATATTTTTGAATTTTTCAAAAAACAATTTCAATTTTTTTTATCCAAATTTCATTTTGAAATTCGCAAATGCTTTTTGACACTATTTTTAATTTTAATTGAAAATATTTATTTTAATTTTTCTTAAAATTCTAAACCATATCTTTGAAAACTTCACGTCTCAAATCTAAATTCTAAGTCTAGATTAGTTAATCTTATGGTTACAAATGTGTGTTTACCTTTTTAAAATCAATAATAAATATGGTTAAGCTAAAGATGAAAAAAATACTAAAAAGTGTCAATTTAACCACAAAATTTACTGAGAAGTCAATTAAGTAACTTTTACTTTTGTATTGCTTATAGGTGAAATTTTAAAATTTATTGTATTATGCTTGGTTGATGACTTTTATTACATATTTATTTTCATAAATCTAAAAAGTACCTCTAGAACTAATTAATACAAATAAAAAATAACAGAATTAATATATAATTTTTTATCAATTTGTTTATTTATATATGATTAAATAAAATACTTTAAAATTTTTATAGAAAAAACTGAATGGATTAATATTTTTATATAAAGAATTATATTTGTAGATAAAGAATTATTAGAATTTTTGTATGTTTTTAAAGCACACACCAAAAATGTTTACAAAAGATCATCACTATAAAAACGTCCGATCATTGTTTTGCTCTTATTGGAAGTATACAAAAAAAAATCTTTTTGAAGGCTAAAGTATTTATGTTGTTCACGTGCTAAAATAAAATATAAATTAATTAATTATAATTAATTTTTGTAAGAAATCTTTTTTAATGACTAATATTTATCTTGTTGAAATATCTTAATCTTACTGATCTTCTAATTAAAACTATATATTGAAAGTGTTGATCATCCAATTACTTAAAATTAAATTAAAATTTTCATATTTCTAATTATTGTTCTAACATTGTAAACATAATATATATATATATATTCATATAATATAACTACTCGCAAAATTACGGGGAAACAACTAATATGTTAATATTATATATATATATATATATATATATATATATATATATGTTAATCATATTAGGTAATTATATAGCTTTTATTTAAGGAAAGAAAAAATATTTTTTTGTATACTAATAATCAATTTGGTAGTTAGTTTAATAAAAAGTATAATATATAATTATATGACTCATTTACTTTTTATAGAATTCTAAGAATTTTTTTGGTGATAATACATAACTATGAAAACATGTTGTACTACTACACCAAGATTAATATATAGAGATATCGGCTCGATTTAGGATAAATAGATAGAGAATGAATTATGATATTATTGTGCGTTAATGAGTGCAATTTCTCTTTTTCATATAGCCATAATTTTTGGTTCTATAGCCATGCTTTTTCCGTGTTTTTTTTTTACGGCTCATGCTTTTTCCGAGGTTAGGCTGTGCCTAAAGCAGACAATTTCTAGTAGTACCTTTTGTTTTATAATATAAAAAATATTAAAGATATATTTTTCTTACAAAATATAAGTAATTTGAATATTTTAATAAAAAAATTTTATTTACAGAATATTGCATGATCAATTAAATTATGTAGACGTTTTTATTATTAGGTTAACTTATATATTAAAGATTAGTGATTGTAGCTAACACTATTTACATTTTGAATCACAACTGATACTTATGCATAGCGCACAATGCACTAAGTTAGTGGTAAGTGATCATTGACCAACTTGTACACTTTTAACTGGCACGTGCAAGGCTCCCGCGTGCAACGACAATCTTTCCTTTCGAAAAACTGTTCACTTGTCTCTTGAGATCAGAGTAAGAAAAGCAATCACCTAAACAAAAATCTTTAGGAAGAAGAAATAAACTTTTTGAGAAATTTCATCATTCGAGATGTCATCCACTGCGATCAGTATCAGCTTGTCGATGAGTAGCCGCACAAGAAGAGGTGGAGAAGTCGATGTTGATAGAGTACTAGTGACGGCCTCACCGACAACATTGAAGCTGAATCAAACACGGAGAGAAGTTGCAGGCAGGATTTTGGGGATGAAGAAGAGATCCCCTGGTACCGTAGCAAACACGAAGGCAGAGGTGGTGGTCGTCGACGAGAAGGAGACGAAGCAGAAGATGAGTAGTAGGAATCTGAGAGTTGGACTCATTTGTGGAGGTCCGTCGGGAGAACGTGGAATTTCTTTAAACTCCGTTAGATCAGTTCTTGATCACATTCAGGTTCTTGAAATACTTTTAATATTCCCCTTTTTATCCTCACCAGTTATTTAATATTTCTGTTTTTGTTGGATCGTTTTTTGGTTCATCAGGGTAACGGTATAAGCGTCAGCTGCTATTACATAGATCCTGATCTCAACGCTTATGCGATTTCACCTGCTCAGGTTTTGCTTGTGTTACGTTGTAACAAGCACTTTCGAAAACAAGTTTCATGGAAATGACTTTGTTTGTTGAAATTTTTCAGGTGTATTCGAATACTCCAGCAGATTTTGATTTCAAGCTCGAGAGGTGAGGGTATCAATATAATAATATTGCAAAGGTTCTGAAAAGTGACTTTGTTTGTTTGTAGTCTTGCACAGGGCTTTGGTTCGTTATCAGAGATGGCCGAGCATCTTGCTTCAGCTGTGGACATTGTCTTCCCAGTAATCCATGGTCGGTTTGGTGAAGATGGTGGCATTCAGGTCTTTTTCCTAATAGTTTTTTTTTTATATATATTGCAAGTATATGGAACCTTAGATAACATTTTGATTAATGGCTAAGCAGGAGCTGTTGGAAAGCCATAAGATTCCATTTGTCGGTACTGGATCCCATGAATGTAGTCGAGCCTTTGACAAGGTAAAGAATAAGAGAACTGATGAACAGGATTCATTTGTACATGGTTTATACATAGCTTTAAGTTGCCTTGTTATATATAGTTCTGGTTAATTTACGTGAACTGATTATAGTATGAAGCCTCTTTGGCGCTCAAGGAGCATGGGTTCATGTCAGTACCGAACTACCTGGTGCAGGTAATAAACTGTCAGCGAAACACTTGTCTTTATCAACATTCAGTTTCTACTTTAGGAATATAGCTTTTTTTTTTGCTATTGATATCTTTCTCATATTAAGTATTAACATAAGAGGTTCACTCAGGGTACTGAAATAGACGAAAGTGAAATAGCGTTATGGTTTACGGATAATCAGCTGGACCCCGAGGTTGGAAAAGTCGTGGTAAGCATCCAGAAATTTTTCAGAAAATGTTAAGCAAAAGGTCCTATTTCCTCGTTATTTTTTTCTTTTCTCTTCACTTCGTTCTGTTTACAGGTAAAACCAGCTAACTCAGGATCTAGCATTGGTGTCACGGTTGCCTTTGGTGTAAAAGATTCAATTAAGAAGGCTACTGAACTTATTCTAGAGGTATCCTTTATTTTGAAGCTTTTGACATATTCGACTAGGAACATAGAAAACTCTCTTTTCCGAAAATTGAAAATATATTTCCTTCCAGGCTATGATTTGTTTGTTTTCACGTGTTGTCTATCAGGGAATTGACGATAGGGTAGTTGTTGAGGTGTTTATTGAAAATGCATACGAGTTTACTGCCATCGTCCTGGATGTCGGCTCTGGTTCTGATTGCCATCCTGTTGTGTTGTTGCCTTCTGAGGTAATCACACATTCTCACTTCTTTGTCCAAAACTTAGGGGCTCAGTGATATACCCACCTTTACGTTTATAGGACCAGGACCAGTCCTGGACCAAGCCTGATGAAACATTGGTCTTGGATCTCCAAATTTTTTTTAAAAAAAATTATGTATATAGGTCCAAAAAAGAATTTTTAGACTCCCAATCTATTAAAAAAAATTTAGGTGAAATCATTAAAAAACTACCTTAAGCCCTCTAATTCTCACTAATTCGCAGGCCAGGCCATTAGTATGGCTATCTATTACTATCATGTTTAACTTCTTACTAATCTAAATGCCACGGCAGTGGCACTGCCGATTCGAAAGAAAACGCCATCTTCGACTATCGCAGAAAGTATCTGCCGACACAACAGGTACTTAAAGTCGCATGATTCTTGCTTTTATTAGTCCTCACAAGGAAAATTTTGATTTCCTACATGCCCCTAGACTTTTGTATCAAGAAGGTAAAGCGTTGGGTCTTTCCTTTTGGTGTCACCCTCACAATGTCTTTATTTTTTAATTTTTTTTTTAAAAACAGGTCACCTATCATACTCCTCCTCGTTTCCCTATCGATGTTATCAAAAGGATACGTGAAGAGGCATCTATTCTATTTCGAAAGCTAAGTCTACGTGATTTTGCTCGCTTTGATGGATGGTATTTGACTCCCACTTCAAACTTAGCATCATCTGCAAGTGAAATGCTTAAAAGATCAGGGGATATTATTTTCACAGACATCAACCTGGTTAGCCTATTGCAATATAATTTTTTAACCTTAGAATATAACAGGAGCGCTGCTATGTTGTTCTTAGAAGTAACACTCAGATGAATTTTTGTAACTGCTTTTACAGATAAGTGGTATGGAACAAACTAGCTTATTCTTCCAGCAGGCTTCTAAGGTAATCAAATATTTTGTAACATTTCATGTGTTATGGTATAGTGATTCTTGCTACCTCTACTCTGTTAAACTTGTCTTCTTGTACTGTGTTTTCACGAACGTTCTCCTTTTTTTCTCTTACATCCAGGTTGGATTTTCACATTCAAACATTTTACGAACAATTATCCACCGTGCTAGCTCAAGGTATCCTCAGCTTTCTTGGTATAATTATGAGTTTAGCCAATTACTCCGAGGTTCAACAACTCTGGAAATCTCCGGGGACGTCCAGAAAGTGTTTGTCCTATTTGGAGGAGACACCTCAGAGCGGCAGGTCTCAGTCATCAGTGGAACAAACATCTGGATGAATTTGCAAAGATTTGGATATGTAAGCTGAAAATAAATGAGCATTATTTAATATGCAACATCATTGCCATGAACTCAAGTAATCTTGTTGTTTGCAGCTCAAGGTAACTCCCTGCTTGCTTTCCTCATCACTCAGCAACTCAATGAGCACTTTTCCTGACAAAACAGAATCAGATTTGGACAATAGAGAAGTTTGGTTATTACCGTAAGTATATTCTCTGACTCCAGTATAGCAACATATTACCTGTTACTAATATCAACTGATCCAAGTAGAAATAAGGTTTACAATAGTCTACACAGACAGAAACTTTCACCATACAAGCTTATATAAGATTGGAACAAAACATTATGGCATTTCACATGCGTAGTATACAAGTATTTTAGTTTTTCTCAGTCTAATTTATATCCTTCCACATCACAAGGGATTTTCTTTCTTGTCAGCTACTCTGCTGTGCTAAGGCACACTGTTGAGGAAGTTCTTGCAGCGTGCTTGGAAGCAATTGAGCCTGACCGGGCTAGATTTACATATCTTCTGCAGCAGCAAGTGAAGGAGGATCTTATGGATAGTTTGAAGAATCAAAGCTGGTTTGCAGGGTTTGATATAACTGATGAAGTGCCCGTGAGATTCTCGTTGAAAGATTGGATCAAGTTTGCCAAGGAATCTAAAGCAACCGTCTTCCTTTCAGGTCACTCTTATAACCACGAGACTCTATGTTTCCTTGCGCAGTGGTTCTGTAAGCGTTTTGTGATTTTATTCTTTCCTAATGCTAACCGGCAGCGCATGGAGGAATTGGGGAAGATGGTACGATGCAGGCCTTACTGGAGGATGAAGGAGTGCCTTACACAGGTTCTTTGCAACTTATATTGCAGTCTTTGGTTCTTCATATGTCATATGTTTACCCTAACGATTTATATTTTTCCTCTGTGGTTCTTAAATAAAAGGTTCAGGAGTACACGCTTCAAGGATTTGCATGGACAAGGCTATGGCATCTAAGGCTCTTAGTCATGTATGCTAACCAGCCGATATAGTATTTCTACATGGAAAAATGTGAATAATATTGTAACAAAATATTTTTCCTTTTCCTATGTGTATTTGTTTCATGTAACCAATAGCTTTCAGAGTTTGGAGTTCATACAATAAGCAATGAAGTGAAGAGAACTGAGAGGTGTTGCTAAGCTTTTTCACAAGAGAGAGGTGGGGAATGGAAGGCATATCTCCTTTTGGTTCGATATTTGGTCTGATAAAGGTTCTTTATATGACTTGCTGGGTCCTCGGGGTTTTATTGAGATGGGAGTTTGTCGAGATGCTACTTTGGAGGAAGCAGTTAAGTCTGTGAGGAGAAGGAGAAGACATCGGTTAGATGTTTTCAATGATATTGAAGCTGAGCTTACCATTGTGTCGAGAAAGCTTTGTTCTAGTAAGGAAGATAGTAATCTCTGGAGAGGTAAATCAGGTTTCAAACAGAAATTCTCAACGTTTGAAACCTGGTCCTTATTGAGAGAGAGTAAAGCTCCGTGTACTTGGGCAAATGCTATTTGGTTTAATCAGGCTACTCCAAAGTACGCTTTCATGGCATGGTTGGCAATCAAAGATAGAATGTCTACTTTGGACAGAGTTGCTAGATGGAATCATGGTGTTGACACAGCTTGCGTCCTCTGTAATAATGCTTCTGAAACGCGTTGTCACTTGTTCTTTGAGTGTGACTATTCGAATCAGATTTGGGAGTATGTTGGCAAAGGGATTATGGGTGATGCGTTCTCGAATTCTTGGTCGGATATCATTCTCCTAATCTCTAATGAAAAAAGGGAGAAGCTGAGTCGTTTCTGTCTCCGTTATGCTTTCCAGATGGTGTTATATGCAGTATGGAGGGAGAGGAATAAAGTGATGCATGGTGAGAAATTGATGCCACTGATGTTGTTGAAGAAGACTTTGGACAAGGGGATTCGTAACAAAATCACATTGATGAACAAGAGGGGAGTTAAGGGTTGGGAGAAGCTAATGCAGTTTTGGTTTTCTACTAGAATGTAATTAGCTTTGAGATTCAGTAGAAGAGATTAAAAAAGATTGCACTTGTTGTAAAAGGCTTTTTTGAATAAATTTAACATTCATTCAAAAAAAATGAAGTGAAGAGAACAGAGGATATAATCCATGAGAGCATCCCAGAAATTTGG